TGCATAGGGTTTATTTTAAATGATATTCATAAAAGTCTTAACTCCACGTGGTGCACCCTGGGCAACGTACACTCATACGGCAAAAAAGTCTATTGACCGGCATTTGACTTCTGACTTCAAACTATCACGACCCCCCTGATTGTCATATTCGACCCCTTCCACAGTACTCACCTTACCTTTTTCTCTACCTTTGTGTCTGTCTGCCTCTTTTACATCTGTGAATCGCTCTTCTGTTCCCCACCCCTCGATTTTCTGCTACTTTGATGAACCTTCCCTCTGTGAAGCCCGAAGTCAGCTAAATTTCTAATGATATCTATCAAAACGCCTGTCATTTGAAATAAATAAATAAATATTCATAAAAGTGCAAAAAATATTGGTAGTTTTAATATTCAAGAGAATAATTGTCAGAAATTGTTATAAAATGTAAGAGACAATTATAATTAGATGTGAACTAGAGTTGCAAAACTTTATTTCATTCGTGGGTTGTTTTATGTTTAACTAAACAAGCGTAGCTCACTGTGTAAGTTTCAAAAGTTTAAAAGTACGAATTTTAGGTCATGACCTTGAGTTTCCAGAATGATCTCGCTATCTCACTGTCTAGAATTATGCTCTACTTCTTTATCAACTCACATTGAACACAATATAATAAGAACTATTATGAATATAGCATAAAATAAGACGAAATACTGCAGCATTTTAAACTTACTCGAAGCTATAATTTCCTAATCTAAGCTGAAAGTTCGATGTCTTGTCCCCCTCCCCCCCCCTCCCCCTCCTCACCGACTAACGATTGACGAAAATTGAGATTAATGGAGCGAATGTGTGATGAATTGAAAGCAATTTCAAGACAAACAATTCCGATTAATGCAAATGTCCTATTGCCCACCAGTTCAGTAGCGATTGCTGTTTTCACCGATGAGGGGGGTACTACGTGCCCTTTTTGCCCACCTGAGTCCTCCGTGATTATTCCTAATTAGCCAGCGCTTGAAAAGCAAAGTCCCCATTCCATGTTACTCAGCATCGATGTTGACACGTAAGCATACCCGTAAAATCAGAGTTCGTTTAGATTTAATATTCATTTTGGAAGCAGATAAATAATCAATTTGAACAGTTGCCACTGTGTAGAGTTTCGATTATTCATCAGATATAGGCATAAATGTAAATGCTTATATCGCAAAATCGGCAATGCGATAGAGTTAAAAAAGCCCATTGGAGGGCATTTCAAAGCAGGTAACATTAAAGCCGATGATAAAGCAAAATGGAGCCCAAAACCTAATTGAAGTTCAGAAATGGGATGAAAGTGGAATGTTGACTTGAAGTTAAAAGTTTTCAGGCACATCCTTTAAGAGAAATTTTGATTCATTCCTCTGCCCAAACTACACGGGTACTTGGCCATGACATATCTTTTAGGTTTAACTAAGTTTATATCCACTCAGAACTTATTGCTCAACGATTATCCGATTGTCCAAATAACTTGTCTATCCATTTATCCCGGAATACATTTTCAAAATAGGCTAAACTTTTTGGCCTACTAAATCGTACTGAATCCTACTGAATGTACAGTCAAATACTAATCGCTTTACTCTCCGTAAGCTGATATCCCACCCATTTATTGCAATACCATTCGAACTGCATGCAATATAATATAATTTATAATAATTCGAAGAAAATTTTAAGAGCTAAAGTTTTATTTTTAACAACTGAAAGAAAATAAAAACAAAGGATAGGATTTTGGAATTACCCATCCTAATATTTTAAATGATTAGGTTAATTTTTAATTCCATGCCCTCCTCTGAGGTAGATGCAGCAAATCCGGGTGACCGACAAGGCGAATTAGATGGAGAAATATGGGAATTATAAATAAAAGAAATATTTGAAGTAACAATAAATTCTCCATTCATAATTTTGTTTTCGATATGTGGTTATCAATAATATTACGCAAATTTCGACCAATGCAGATACAATATCAAGCGGATGGAACTTTTTATTTTATTTAAATATATTTGTAGATAGGAAGATTCTGTTCGAAATTTACCGTCTTTTCTTAAAATATCATTTCAAGAGAAACGTAATGTTTTTATTCGAAACTTGGGAAATAATTACAGAGTTCGTTGTATTTGATGACAGACATTTCATTTATGCGTTCAATAAGCCTTCCTACATCGAATTCAAAATACTTTAACAAACTTTAGTCGAAATATCTGAAATTTAAGATCGGATTACAAAATAATATTTTGCTACTTGTAGAGTAAAAATGAATGAAAATTATTTTTTTAACAATGGTATCTTTTTTATTTTAAAATCTGTATGTTGATTTTATACTTGGGAGGGGCATTTATTTCGAATCTCTTTACTCACTTGGTGCGGTAGCTGATAGTCCTGAATGACTTCGGTAGATATTGAAGGTGAAGAGCAAATGTCTCTGTGATTTCGCAGAGCCAGATACCTCATGATGACGTCTGCTTACCTCAAGAGCAATATCGAGATAATGAGCAGCTTCTGCTACTGTAGCTGCAACTAACTCTGTTTTCTCATCATCTAGTCGGGAAGAAGAGAGCGCTCTTTTCCAAGTAAAGACACCGGATTTCAGTTTCTCGACTTGCCTTCCCTCGGGATCCACATCTTTCAATGGAATGGCAAACAATAAATCAAAGTAAATTAAATGTTTTTAATTTAAGTGCACAGCACTATTTATTTTAATTTTAAAGAGATATGAAGTTATGAAATCGGTCACTAGAACCACGAGCTGTAAGAATTCTGTGGAATAAAATCGTCAATTTAATGCTTACAAAACTTACGCTCAATGTTGACTTAAATTCATTTAAGTAGTGGTCTGTGTAAGCATATTTCAAGCTTTTAAAGCATTAATCTAGAAATACTTCAATTTTCTAAATTTTATTGCAAATAAATCTGCCAAAGCAGTAAAAGCAAATGCCATTTTCCTTTATTATTTGCCTTAAAGGTATTAGTTAAGAATTATTCTGCTTTTCATTTTCGCTGTAGAAAGATATTTATATTAAAAATATAATAAAATGTTTCATTTGGTTCAACTTTCAATGTTTGGAGTAAAAGTTTACTCTACGAGATACATAAAGTCATAAATTATCGCTTAAGTGGGCTTAAAACTGTGCAGAACAACGTCGTTTTCTTAAAACATCAAGGATGCAAAGTCCAATGATTTCGGGAACACCCAGAACATTCCTCCCTTTTCTAAAATTGATATGCCAACTAAAATACAGGCAAAGAGTGCCTTTCTTTTAAGACATTTCAATTCCATGTTGCAATAAAATATAAGTGCGATAATGGTTTAAGCTGATGATGGATTCGGACAGTTGGTATGTATTTATGCGTAAATCTGCCTTATGCTTGCACCCTTCCTCCCTTTCCACTGCCAGTATTTGTCTCTAAGAATGCCCAGTATCACGATTAAACAGCAAGCGATTTATGTCCTAATGCATCTGGAATTAATGCCCTCGGGTCAATTGTTTGAAGCGCCCTATACAATGCCTCATTTGGAGTTGAACAGCCCTCACCGCCTTGACCTGTTATCCGAGAGATCGCATTTGGGTGCTTACTTTTAATGAGATACAGAGAATAATGAAAGGTCGGAGTAGAAGTGAAGCCCAAGAAATCGGTGTCAGAGAATGACTTCTTATAGCTTAATTCAAACGTTGGATAGCATAGCGTAATTCAGAATAGTTCATATAACCAAGTTGATGAGTTATAGAAAGAATACAACAGTGAATATCAAATTAAAAAATTATTTTCAAATTTGTATTAAACAAGGATGTTAAATGAGGAATATTTTAGTGGTGTAATAAACTCGATACAGATGATAGTCATATATATAAATACGAGAATTTAAACAATAATGAAGAGGCGAGTAAGCATGTGAATAGGAGACCATTTGAAGTCTAAATCTTCTTACTAATAAGTATGAGAGAATACTAACGATCCTGTATCACTAACTGCAACAGCAATAATATGCAAAATTACATTGTTTTATGAAATTGCAATGATAATTTCGATCCAATGAAACAAAATAACTCTACAGAGAAAATTAATTTTTTTACCAAAATTATCTGTTTTCCGATATCTTTTTCTCTTTCAAAAATAAATACACATATAAAATTTTAAAAGCGCGTTTTAGGTGCATAGTGAGTAATAGTTTTCAAGGCCAGACGTTCCACGAAATTCAGACATGCTGATAAGATTTTTTTGGAATTAATGAAAACTTTGATTACTTTCACAATATTGATATATCAGTGAATTGTGCCATGACATAACGAAGAATAGACCATAAAAATTTCCAGATTGCTACTGAAATAATGGTTGGTTTAGGATGGTCTTTTGATTGAGCTCAAATCAATTGTTAGCCCTTCTACTATCCCTTATTCTCAGATTTCTCAATTTTCCCTTCAAAGCAAGTTTCCTCACCTTCTGTACTGTGTTACAATTCATAAAACTCTGAATATTGGTAGATATGACACTTTTCCTTTTTACGGAGATATCTCCCACCAATTCTAGAAGACTACTTCCACCTTTTTTCTTAATTTCGGAAATTTTTTTAAAAGAACTCAAAATAGTGCTCAAAGCAGTGGTGTTGGTGGTTTACACGAGAAAAGGGTGTGAACAATTGTGAAGAGTTGGAAAACAATTCGGTATCGCTAAAAAAATAAACTTGATTTTAAATAGAAATTGTCTCTTACAGTAGCCCTTCCTTGACCATACCTATATTGAATTTAAAATTGGTCTCGCAGAAAATTTCTTGCTTGTCTTTACAGAGCAAAAAATAAACTATCAAATAGTAAATTAATTCCTGAGATATACCTCCTGCTTACTTTTCTCATGAAAGTGTAAGCTCTAAATACATCCTTAAGTGTTAACTATTATTCCATTGATGATTATTTATTACGTGGGAAAGAATTGTTCTCATTCTAAATGCGCTGGGCCGCTGTTTGGCGTTAATTTCAGGAATTACTGTTTCCTGACAAGAAAGGTCGGAAATAATCATATTTCCCGCAACCTAAAATGACTTGTCTATTGAAACCATTTTTTTCTGTTTTGCTCAGTAAATGATTTATGTCTGTGGAATTATATATCATTTGCCATCTTAACTAGTCACAATATGTGTATTCTAATGGAATTATTCAATGACTGTCACAGTCTTCTCTGCATATTTTGGGGAACCCGGGTACTTAAAGTTGGAAAGGGCAATAAATTAACGGCCTTCCCCTAAGCTATTATGTGCCAAGTAAATTACAGTCGTTCCTTGCAAATAGATCAATAATCTAGTCTGCTTTAGTGGGGAGGGGGGGGGGTTGGCATTCATTTCGCTAATGAACGGATTAGATAGGAAATAATAATTTCATTTTCCCCGATGCTACAAGCAATCCTTGATAATATAAGCTAAATCGATTATAAATGTCTTAGCAGACTTCTGGAAATATAGTAATTTTAAAATGTTTAACTGAAAATCAATAAACCCTTTTAATTACTATGTTATTTCAAGATTGTTTATGCACTTTCCTCCCCAACCTTCCCCTCCCCCAGAGAGAAATTAAATGGGTGTTAGAAGCATGAAAGCCTGAACCATTTCCTATATTGAGCATTAGAAACAAAATAATGCGCGAATATTCAGAGAAATCTACCATTCGGCAACAGTGGACATGGTGGGCATTATTGTGAGACAGGGGTGGGGTGCACTTACCGTCAAATACCACGTAAGCCGAATTGTTTTATTCTGCTTAACTTCAAAATTCATTCACTCAAATAACATTTTTGGATAACTTTTCAGATGAACAATGACTTAATTGCCCACCTTCTCATCAGCGATAATAATATGATTGTAATGCATGAATTTGAACGACCTATCTGTAGTTTAAATGCCAGTTGGAAATATGTCTTTTAAAGAAACAAACGAAATTTTTCAACCGTAAATTAGATTTTTTTATGTAAAGACTAATTAATGTAAATTCGTTTTATGCTTAAAGAACAGAACTTGGACAAAACATTTATCGACACCGTGAAATCAATGACAAATGACAATACTTTTACATTTTCCAAATTAGAATGAAAGAAAAGTAAATTTGGCCTGAATTGACCAAATTATTTGAATTAAAAATATGTTGTGCGGATTAAGAAATTTCTAAGATTTTATAGCGAATCTTTTTTCTACACTTTACCACTGGAGCCCTAACTAAAGAGCAATCATAATCGCATTGTAATTTCCTTAACTATTCAATTGAGCAGTAATTTAGTTAAATGAGCCAGAATAAAATTTAAGCACTGTTAATTATGTTATGATATTGTGATTAAAACAAGTAATAAATAAATATGATTATTAAAAGCGAACTAATCTGTCGAATAATAATAAAGAAATTATGAATAAATATTGACAATTAGTCATAAGCAGCGGAGCATATTTCTATTATTAGATTTAGAAATAAAGCAAGATTTATAAAATTGTCTGTTTCTACAAGCAGAACTTTTAGCCTTCCAATTAAATTACTCTATCTGGTGTGTGGAAACGATATCTTTGTCCCATTTGGAGGCCGTGGGGATGCTGGACTTGCGTTGGCGTAGTCTCGAAGTGCCCCCTCAACCCCCCCCCCACTCCCACCCCCTCCCTGGCGTATATCGGTTACCGGTCTCACGGTGGAAGATAGGACTGAAGTGTATGACTAATTGCAGATGAGCGTAAACAAATAGGGGTGTGTGCATTCAGGTAATATGGACACGGAATGCCATCTTATTTGACAGAATAGAGACAATCTGATGTCAGTTGGGCACCAAAGAAACCCTCAGTTATTAATAAATACGTAGTAATAGCATAACAGAACTGTACGACCAAAATTAAGGGTTACTTTAATAACATATTTTAATATCTTTGAATCCTACAAATTGCATATCATATTAAACAATTATATTCGTCGAGATCAAATGAAAAGACCAAGTTTATTAAATGCACTAAGTATTTTCTGTGCTTCGGTGGTTATTTTCGAGGTTGCACGTTTGACGTCTGCTGGTGCCCACCTCCGAAATGGTTCAATGTGGTTAATAATAGGGAATGGTAGGATCGGATTTTCTCCTTTGAAATACACCTCGGTATGGCCCAATGTTTTAAAACTAGCATGGAACGGAAGGACTCCCCTTCATAACAAATGTGATATTTCTAAACATATTAGTTTTTTAACTTACTCTAAGTTTGAAATTTAAGGACGAGCGTCAAAACCATGTAAATCACAACATATCGGTAAAGATGGCTTTTATTTTTTACTCCTTCATTGGTCTGGGATATATATTTTTCTTGATTTTAATTCAAAATCTCAATTTAAAGTATATGAAAAAAGTTATGGCCTCTTCTAATTATTCTCAACAATAATTCAAGTCATGAGAAATTTCATGCTGCTAAAGCTTCTTTAAATTGTTTATTTAAATGGGAGAGAATTTAGATTGTAAGTAATTATATTTCGGAGCAATATAATTCTCACAGAGTAATGTATATAGGTACATTTTGCTGGTTAAACGTTTTCATTTACGTATGCTATAACGGCAAATGCTATTAGCAGTACTTTGAAAGTATCTCGGCGAGTATTTGGTCAAGCAAAGCATTATCTGATTTATTTTCAGCACTTAATACAGGTCGTACTTACCATTTTTGAGTTCTGATAAAAGATCAATCGATGAGTGGTCGGTATTGTTGGGAATTTCAAGCGCAGATACTGTGAAGTAGAAATGTGTTGAACGTTGATCATTGAGTGCGCTGAATAGGCTGTGAATAGCAGTTGGGACCAGTCCAAAACTGCTGGCATTTGAATCATTCCCAATGAACCGTGATGCATTCCCTATTATGACATCGGTTTGAATTATGCAAAATCAGTTTAAATGAAAGTTTCAAAATTATGCCACCAATGTCTCATAAAACAGTTCGTTTTTCACTTATTTTGCCAAATAAATGGAAATGGCTCTAAACTTGCAATTACGAAATATGAAATAAATGTTAATATTTAGAAAAAACTAATATTATTTAGGCAGCTCATAGAATTCGATTGATATTTTCTAATAGTTGCGTTATTTCCACTGATTTTCCTTTCTTACAGCCATCTGGACCGTCGAGCTTGAAGATCTAAAATAATAGTTTGAGCCTGCATCTTAGACAGCTAATTTTATTTCAAAACTTAATTGCATAAATTTGTTTAGCCAGTCGTCATTACTAGTATTTTGAAAGTGGTGAGGAAGATTTATGTCACGAAGCCAGCTATGCATTTCAGCGAATGGTCAGTATTGTGACATCTGACAAGTTTGATTACTTTGATTATGGCGTAAAAAGCTGAATCACTGCTTGTCAGCATCAATATTGTGGTGACGAATCTTATTCCGATAGGGTTTACTTAAATCTTACAAAATATTCCAACCTTTATTATATATTCGAGTGAGTTAGAATTCAGCCAAATTATAAGGTGGGAAGGACGCTTTTACAGTAAACTTGCCATTTGAGTTCTTAGTGTGTGCGAAATCTGATAATCGCCACAAAGTTTAAAATCCCGTTGTTGATTTGGGTGCAGTAAGATGCCAACAAATTTATCCAATAAAGGATCCTCGAAGACTATGAACTAGAAACTTCTCAAAGTATCTACGCTTCATTTGAGAATTTAGGCAACAAAAGTTTCTAGACCCTAGATGCGGCTGGGTTCATAACGCCCAGACTACGAAATCTATTTCAAATCACTCTTTCCCACATTAACTTCTGCTTTGACTGGTCGGCTATTTCTATTGATTAATTTTGTTAAATATTTTAATCTTGCAATGGATTTTAATGTGAGCATTTATGATACAGTTAACTTACTTTTGTTGATAGCGTTCAGGTAGATTACACAACCGTTACTGCCATTTACAAGGGAGACAATTTGATCACTCAGTACTGCGGAACAAAAGTCCTTAAGAAAAGGAAAGATATACAAAAATTTAAAGGTGCAATTTCAATGCTTTGATTTAATTTGTTTTTGTTTTGGATTAATTTTGGAAAACAAGAAATATTAAATTTCAACAATTTTATGTTTACGACACTTGCGATCAAAGAGACAAAAATACCGTTTAAAATGTTATAAAAATTAAGCCTTTCAATATAAAATTAAATAAATAGAGGCAAATTATTTTATCTTTAAGATAAAGCATTAAAACGAAGGCTTTGTTATTGCGTTCATGCACGAAAATAGCTATTAATTAAGCGATAGTTTGAATAAAACGTAAAAGAATGCTTATATGATACCGTTGTATCTTGCTCGGAAAAGGCGCCATCACAAGGAAAGTTCTTGGGGGCATTGGAAATACCTCCGGAGGTAGGCGAAGAATCTGCAGATGGACGAAGGAGTCGAACTTGCTTCTCTACCCCATCTACGATTAAGCATGGCTGATCGATTTTCTTCCCATTTCGATCTCTTGTTTCATATGCCAAGATCAAGTTGGCCTTTGATAAAAAGAAGTGTTAGTTGAAATATGTTTTTTTTAAACCAAAAGCCGAATAAACTCAAAATATCACCATAATGTTACTGAATATCGTATATAAACAGTGTGGAAGAGTAAATATGAGTTTTTTGGATATTTGCTTAAACTTGAAGAAGTGATAAAGGAATCTGTTTAGGAGAAAAGGTGAATTTATCAACTTTCGATTTCCCGAAGATTAAAGTGGAGTGGTTTGAAGAAATTATGAGGTCAAGAAACCAAATGACAAGTCAAAATTTCAATCTTTTATTGCTTGTTGAGTCAAAAGTACTAGTGTATCTAAATTCGCTAAATTATATTTTGATTTTGAAGACAATTTACCAGAGGTAAACCAATTAAATGACAAAAAATCAATTTCTTAATCGATAGTAAGTCAATAAATGCTTTCCATGCTCATATAGATAAATGTGTGCAAATAGATGCGGTGTTTACTTTGAGTTAATATGGCGATAACCTTAAAGTACATGTTTTAGCCCTTGCTAATCTACAATGTAGGATATTTCAGATATACCCCCTATCTGACTCTTGAGATGTACTTTATTAGGCTATAATATGAAACATAACCAGTTAAAAAGTACATCTCAAATGGGCATTAAGGTAGTAGGGATTAAGCATAGACTGCCCGCGGCTAATCAATGCACTGCAGTTACTAGCAATTATTATTTCAACTCTCATTAATGCTATTTCACATTTTTCGGACTTATATTAATGAATATTTACTCCACGTACACTCCACTACTTCATTTCCAAAATTTCGAAGGTCCTTGTTCGTCGCCTAGCTTACAGACAATATTCCACTTCCACCATCCCCCATACTTACTAGTTTGATTCTTATTATAATGGTTAATCTCCTTGTTTTAATTCATTTATTCATTCAGAGGCGATCAGACAATAAAGGTCTTACGGGATTTTAGCATAGTAAGGAACAGAGGATTCACAGTAATCTCCGTAATTACTTTTTTAAATTGTAAATGTATCGTTTAACTATCTCAACATGATCTCAGCAGTTTTATGTATTTGCGTTAAGATTTTGCAACATAGAAACAGAGTTAGTAAAGTCAAAAAAGGTCAAACTTAAGGATTTTAGTGTTGAAAAAAGCGTAAAATAAAATGAAATAATTGAACAATCATAAAATATAGCACTTTTGAAATAAATTAAGCAATTCCAATATTGAAAAAATACTATTTCAATAATTATGAGCAATTTGGAAGGCGATGAAGAAAATGTGACTTAGCCTTTCTACTCTTCCTCCCATTAGGAGTCAACTTTCTTACTGAAAGTAGATCAAAATTGCATGCACCCTTGTGATAAAAAAATAGGCCAAAAAAGATGAAGGCGTTTTAGTAATAAATAAATTGTTGAGATCGAAAATTAATTTCGCTTATAGCACTTTCAAAATTGGTTCCTTATGTCGATTGATATTTATCAACTCTTTTATTCAAATGTCGACAATTATAGAAAATTGGAATTTTGGTGCTTGCAATAATTCTTGGTCATTTTTTTCGCAAAACAGTTAGCATTTGAGATGCATCAAAAATCTGTAAAAATAATTAAGTTCAATTAATAATTTTGTTATAATAAAACCAAAAATAAACATTTTAGGCTTAAAAAAGATAAAAGTTGTTGACATATTTCGGTGTGCAATGATCGTCATCAAAAATAGAAAATCCGATTTAACTGAAAATAGATCCTTCTAAATGTGCTAATGGAGGAGAAGGAGAACGAATCCCAAAAAATATCTTTCACACGCATTTATATTTTAATAGAAGCTTTGACTGGGCGAGACGTAAATCTTACCGGATTTTTTAGCTAGTAAAATGGAAATAAGAACAATTTTCGGAGAGATTCTGACAGATCAAAGTTTACGTCTTTGAAACTTTCCCTACAATTTTCGGGCAATATCTCTACGGCAGTAAATACTTTAAAAACCTCAATGACACTAATAAAAATAAAGTAAGACAACTTTTTCTAAATGGTCAATACAATTTGGTGAAATAGCCAGTCTTTTTGTTGTCGAAGGAAACATCTATGGTCATGAGATCATAAAAAAATTTCACCATTTGAATTTTTGCAATAAGTTCAACAAAATAATGTATGGAAACAGCAAAGCCGTGTGGAAAAATTCATGTGATTTTCTGCTTACTTTAGGCTGATGTAAGAAAGAAGAGGATTTCCGACTTGATGGAGTCGGAGATAGCATCGAGCTTGGTGGAGAAAGTAGAAGAGCCTGAGAGAAATTAGTCGCGAGTTTTCGGCGGTTTTGCTTTCGAAAACTGTCTGATAGTTGGGAGAGATCATCGGTCTGAACACTCTGAGTGCTATAATGAAGTAAATATGATAGTAAATTAAATGCATGTTGAGAGTTGTACACGGTTAACTTTTTAATTGAAGAATTGAGCTAAACCCACACTTATGGAAATGGGAAATTTAGTAATTGTATTCATTGTGCGTTAATTTTGTGTAAATGAATTTTCTATTGTTGCTTATCGTCATACAAATTCGATATCGAAATCCTTCCCTCTATTTGAATTTGCAGTTTTTTTATTATTAATGCATGTGTTTAGGTTGTTCAACTACAATTTAATTAGGGGACTTTGGGCTTGCAAGGAATTTGTCTTCCCCCAAAGACTGCCGTTTTAACTGTTGCCTCAATTTGACGGAATAGTCTTTAATCACAAAACTTTTTTTATTTTTTTTTCAATATTAAAATTGCCGTCTCGGGTATTCAGATATGGCAAAGGACAAAGACATCACTCCTAACTTCGGGATATACATTGCCATTACTTATTTGTAATTTTAAGAGCTCTTAATCTTTAAGCTTACATACTACCTTCTGTATTTATTGATTTGCAATACTACATTGTAAATTTTGTAAAATTCCAAGTTACTGTGCAATGAAATGCAAACCAATTCAGGTTTATAAGCCTTGATCAATGTGTATACAATAATGCTTTTCGCTCTAATGTGAAATGAATAATTAATACGATGCGTAGATGGTAAAAGTTTGTCAACAAATCGGCTCCCGTGAATGCAATGAAGTGCACAGTGAATACAAAGGCTCAAGCTTGGTAGCAAAATTCCCTATTGTCTCAACACTATTTGATCTGAGAGATCATTTGATATGGCCGTCTGAATATTTAGAAGGTCTCGCTTTTATCCACCAACATTTTTGTAACCCACTGGCATCTATTTTCAACCATAATATTATCGCTGGAAAAATAAAAAGGCTAAATCACAAATAAAGTTGGCGCCTTACAGTAAATTTGGCTATAGCTTTTGATAAGTTAGATTGGTGAAATTTAATTACTACATTTTTTATTAACTAACCTCTTAGAAACTGTATTGTCAGCCATATTCTGCTTTAGGTGACAGTATATTCACTTGAATGGTAGTATTCTGGGCCCGAGGTGGCGACCATTACTTCAAAATCCTTTCTAAAATAGAAGACGAAATGTTTTTGTGACGAGTTGTGTCAATAAACAGTTTGGGGGGAGGGGAGGGGCGGAATACAATTTTAAAGATATATATATAATTTTTACTCTGCAGAACCAACATTGCTCATAAGTGATTTCCTAGCCTAGGGTTCCTCTTTGATGTTTTCTCGATACTTTGTCTCAGCTCACTATCTACAACACCTTTATTCAATACTGTACAGTTTCAAAAACCTGAAATGTATGTTCAAGTAAAACATATTTACTGACTTTAAGCCAGGTGTTCATTTGTATTTTAAATTATTATGCTGCAGCAATGAGCACGGGTATGAAGTCGTTGTTCACTCATATACCTTGTGATACTTGAAATAAGAGGATCTTTGCTACGCAACAAGATATGGTTGTGTTATGAAAATTTCTATAATGCAATGAAAATAGGTAGGAACCTTCATTCGTGAAAATTGGTAAACCTTCGATCATTTGTCAACCCAATTGGCCCTGGAAATAACTTCATAAATATCAGAAAGCTTGAAAGAATTAAGCTTTACTCATTATCTCAAGAAGCCTTAAGCTAATCATAACTAATTCTTTATAATATAATTTCTATAATTTCAGTAAATGGAATATTTTGAGATTAGATCCTTAAAATATTTTTACATTTTTGTGTTAATACTCCCACTGGTTTCGGAATCGATATACCGCTCAACTGAAATTGCATTTCTTCCTAGAAATTGAAGTTTAATTTTGTATAGGGTAGATAAATTTGTACATTTGGCATAATGAAATCAATATTTGTTTATCTGGAAAATCGGATAGCCTGAGAGGCGAACTTCGAAGGTATTTGTCTAATCTACATATATATGAACTTACAAATTAGAGGGAGGAAAGACATAGGAGAGATCACTGTAACTAATTTTAGATTGAATCTTGCTTAATCAACACACACACACACACATGGGGTTTTTAAAGATAGTCCAGTATACCTTCTGCTAACACAGGGAGGCCCATTAGGAAGCGGAGTCATAAAATGAACCAAACAGACAACTAAACAAACAATTAAGTGCAGAATAAAGGAATGAATCAACATATTGTGATATGTTGCATTACATTAGGCTGTGCTCCTTTATGGGGGCAAGCGTGTGCTATGACAGCTTGAGGGCCGAAATGGGATTTCGTTGCCTGTCCTGTTTACTTATTGCTAGTGCTAGAGTGAAGCACCCTTTCTCCCTCTTGGACTAAGTGAACAGCTGTTCAGACTCGTCAGACATGCACACACGCACACACATGGGGAAGGGTCGAGGCCGAGCAAAAAACCGTCCTTCCGCCTCATGTTATGTAAGCCGGTAGGACACGAAATAAACTACTTTAGCACTAATCTTGCTCGCCCCTCCTTCTCCGCCACCTCGTTCATTCCTGCAACGTTTAACAGCTGGCAGTACGCTCGTATTCGTACCTTTCCACCACGGGGTAATGAGTCATTTCATCCTACACCACGACCAACACTTTTCTACATATACCCCCCCCCCCACCCCTTCCACCCCCTCCCTCTCTTCACACATGCTTCACCTCATACTAGGCTTTCATGACCGAGATAAAGTAAAAGTGTCTCCAACCGCGCGGATACACAATTTCGTCTGTGCCTTAAATGGATACTTGGCGAGAGAGAGAGAGAGAGAGAGTCTAATTGTAATTAATGGATGCGAAAGAGTACTTCGAGTAAGTTATCTGCGTGTAAAACACTTGATTGACTATATTGGAAAACGGTCTTATTAAGGGGAAGCAAGCAATTGCAGTAAATAAAATAGTGGAAAATTCCGGAATTACTTCCCATTAGATACATCAATTCAGATGTCAGATACCGTTATTTCACACATTGGAGGCACTTTGAAGGTAACAACTTTAACATATTATAACAGTACTCTACAAAATAGTATAATAGATTGTTGAGAATTATTGCCCAGCCTATCACCTAGTAAATCACCTCTGAAAACGATAAATAAGAACTATCATTCGGAAATCCAAGCGATAGATTTTCAAAGATTGAACCTTAGGCCAAACATGCAAACTATAATTATTTGATATCGTCCCTACTGTCCGAGATTTCTTGAAGCAATTTTCCCCATCCGCTCTCCTCATACCCCCCCCCCCCTTATTCTGACATTTTGCTGTTTCCGTGCGTTTTGGGGGTTCTTCGCCATGATTCAAAATATTCCCAAGTTTTCTCTTTGATGAAGCACAGTTGAGAAGGACTTGGGATAAGTTGCTGTGGCTATGTAAATAGAAATATGAATTCCCTGAGTATATTCTCTCCTGCATATGTAGTTGCTATGACAAATATTCCATAATGTCAATTTCACAGTAAATATAAATAATGAAAATTTGCCTTATGCTTTAGGCAACCAAGATTTAATCCATTGAAAAATAGCCGTTTCTCTACATAGTTTTGGACGTTATTTTTATGCCCGAAAGTTACTCATGAGTCCAAGATGGATATGGTAGTACCAAATATATAGCACTTGAATATCTGCCAAACAATTAAAGACCAGTATTGGAAACAGGATAAATCTCCTAGAGTGTCCATATTATAAGAGTCTACAGTAGTAATTGGTCAAGGAAATTTTCATCCACTTCTTTCAGTACTCCAAAGGACATGGTTCCATAAATCTAGACCAAAACGCAGGTCTTCTTTACGGAATTATAATTAGAATTAAGCTCAAAGTGTGGGTGAGCCCGATTTAAGAGTAATTAAACAGCTCACCTTATCTCATTTAAAGTTAAAGTGACGTTTTATTTCAGTTTAACATTAATTGCTATAAATAGTTCAAGATGAGGATTTAATGGGGCTGACTAAACCAATTATCCCAATATAAAGATTGATTTATCAGTTAAGAATTTATTCCCGGAAGCATAAATATTTGCGAAGCATTTGATTAATTGATCAAACCACTTGAGGCTTGTGAAAGCCTTTGGTCGAACACCATTGTAAAACCAAATGGTAACTTTTTTTAAAAAAAGGTATACGAATTTCGTTAGAATGGAGGAAGTTTGAGGGGTCGCTAGAGGTTTGAACTATCATCTGAGCATTAATTAGTAAAGAAAGCTTTTGTAAAAGGTTTTAAAATGGGAAGTTAACATGTTAAGGGCGGGGTTACACCATTGCTTTATGAAATAGCTATGTCTATTACAATGGTACAATACTTCTGCTGGAATGAATGGATTAGTCATTAGCTGATTACTGCTGCCAACGCAGTCAGTTTTATACTTATCCAATTGTTAGCAATCATCAGATTACACCGATGCATTTGAGAATCCATAATCATGTGGTTATTAGTTATAAAAATCAATGCAATTCTACTGAGTTGGTTACTTGAGCATTAGAAATGAGCCATATGGATAGAAAGCTCGTTAGACCTTCGTTGGTAGATTAGAAGATACATCCACCTCTCCGGTTGATTTTATTATTTTAGCCTCAATCCCCTTCGGAAGTACGCTTCCAAACTTTGTCCCTCCTTAAAATCTTTCCTATTTGTATGCCAGCGAATTTATGTGAGTCTATACTTTCACTGAATATATAAACTGTGTTTCTCAACTTTGTCAACGCAAAACATTAACCTGTAGTCCGCCAATTTCTTTGAAAATGTGCGATAAACTGTCATATTTATGATAGTATCCCGAGTTTTCATAGACTTTGAAGGCAGAATTGATAACTTAATCAGGCAAATAAAGGGCATAAGTTTTATTATAATATGTAGCCCTGTATAGACTCTAAGCTGCTGAGTATCTTTTGTTGATCTCGGCATCCTTGTGATCTCCTCGCTTGCGTTGCCGAATTTCACTTTCCTTCCCATATTTAAAATTTAGTTTCATTCGATCCACTTTAAGTGATAATACTAGTTGGTTTAAGAAAAGTATCTTTCATTCGGAGAAAAAAAATGAGGAACGTGTAAAAATACTGGTAAATAACATAAATTAATAAAAACAATTCGGTGTAATAGATATAAGTTCATATAAGGTCAGCCTACTTTCAAATAAATCTGTTTTTTTACTCCAAAATGATAAGCTAAATATGCAAAGAATTATCAAATAGAAACGTTTATTGTACAAGACCATTTATTATCGAAAGGTACTAGGATGAAAATTTGTAGATGGAAAGTAACAAAAAAACCTCTCCAGAACTAGAGTCAGGACTCGAATATCCTTCCATTCCGCACCTTCACGTCTTGATGAATCAGAGGAAGTTATGATCAATTGTACTTAGTTTGAAGGGTTGCGATTAGAAAGCTACTGCATTCATTTTATTTCCGCGTTCATATTTTCGGATTCAGAAAATTTTCTTACGCTTGTATTCTTGTAACTGCCTTCTTTTCATATTCAATTTCCAGTGGATTTAAACAATGACTTTAAGAATTATTTGTGTATTGCTTTGACAAGTATGACTCTAATTTATGAAATCTTTTCAAGGCTCTTCATTAAAGGCAGTTATTAATTAGTAAATGGATGTTTAAATTTGCATTAATTAGGTAGATATCGTGTTTTTTGTAAGTTATTAATCAAAAAGTAACGTTTTGGGTCTTAACAGATTCACATTAATGTTGTTAATCATTTTAATATCATAATTTATTCAAAATGCATACCTTACTTGGGTGGAAAATAATTTTTGAAAATTATACCAACACTAAAAAATTTAAACACTTACAGACATTAATCCGAAATACTTCCCTCTTGAAAATTATTTTGTTCGAATAAGGCGGTAGGACGTTTTGGTGTATGAGTTGCGACGGAGACAATGTTTTAACGCATATCACTACTTTCCCACTGCACACGTGTGAAGGTCCATGTTGATTGGCTGATAGCAATGTCCAGCTTTGAGTGGTTCCAAGGTCAGCGCTTGCCGATTGGCGATAGCGACAAAAATGGTACAT